TATGTGTAGGGCTTGGCTTGGCCTTTTATAGGATATTATGCTCTTCTCACTGATGGTTTTTTACTGCTCTCTGCTCTATCAGTGGAGCTATCCGGGGCAATCGTAGCGTTTGGGGCCTTTTACTCCCATGTTCCCCGGCTATACTTTTAAAACAGCTTTAGCTGTTCTTTATCTCGTGCACACGATACAAAATGTGTTCCCGTACAATATGGGGCTGTCACCTCTTGCCAACCCAGTACCCTCTTCCTTTTCTAACCTGCTTTCTGAGGCTTCTGCTCTTTACCTCCTGCTCTCTGATGGAAACCTCCAGGGCAAAGCTGAAGGTTTCTTGGGGAAGCCAGGAAAGCCAGTATTTCATATGTGTCAGGTTTGCTTGGCTTCCAAGGAGGGATGCATGGGCTTTTTGGCCAGTGTTTCCAGGAGGCTCTGAGCTTCCTACTTCTTCCCCGCTTCTCCCTGAGTTCACAGACTTTGAGGTTTATGAAGGTTAATGTCACTGGAAGTCTGACCACAAACAAGTTGGCTGTTACTGTATTTGAAAACCCAGTACCTTTGGCAGCTCACCTCTAACCAGTAAAATAAGAGGATTCCATGGTTTCAGCAGTTATCCTGGTTATTTGCCTATTTAAGTGAATGATGGGTGCTTGCATGGTGACTGAGAAGATGGAATTGTGCTGGATGGATTCACAGGGATGAAAATGAATTGGCACAGTCGTTTCACATTTTTTATATATTTTAAACCAAAACAACAGCACCATATGGGCACACAACACACACCTTATGTCCAGGGGAAACAATCAGCTTACTGACAGAGTCATTCCAGAGCTAGGGCTCCAAACTGCAGGCTGCAGATTCCTGGTGGGCATGGGGGGTTACTGCACGGAGTCTGGGAAACCTGTGATCCACAGCTTTGTGGATTGTAGACTGCATAGGAAATTCTATGTTTGAAGAGTTTGGGATCCTAGGGCATTCAGAAAATCCCACTTGTATGCACCCAGAATTTTATATTCCCCAGAAATATAGCAGAGGAATATTCTGATATCATATTTATCTTTCACCATCTCAAAAATTACAGATTAAAAAAAAACTCAAATAAAATTCATCACTGTAACTATTTTAAAGCGTACAATTCAGTGATTTCTATTGCATTCACAATGTTGTGCAAACAATACCACTACCGAATTCCAGAACATTTTCATCATGCCAAAAGGAAACCCCATATCTGTTAGCAGTCACTACTGATTCTGCCCCCACCCAATCCCTGGCATCACCTGGCAACCACTAATCTACTTTCTGTCTGTGGATTTGCTTATTCTGGAAATTTCATATAAACGAAATCATACAACAAGTCTGTATTCTTTTGTGATTGGCTTCTTTCACTTAACATAGTGTTTTCAAGATTCATCCATGTTGTAGCATGTATCAGAACTGCACTCCTTTTTATGGCTGAATAATGTGTTATTATTTGGATATGCCATATTTGGCTTACCCAGTCATCAGTTGATAGATATTAGGGTTGCTTCTGCTTTTTGGCCATTATGAATAATATTGTTATGAACATTTTTGCCCAAGTTTTTGTGTGAACATCTGTTTTACATTCTCTTGGAATTGCTGGATCATATGGCAACTCCATGTTTAACTTTGTAAGGAACTGTCACAATCACAGCTTTTATTTCCTCCAAAATCCAAAGTGAAAAATTATATATACTAGACAGTCAGAAGCATGGGCAAATCTGTTATCAGATAGCAAGATGTGGCACTGATTTGAGGGAGTTTTTAATAACAAAAATGTTGTTTCAGAGAAGTGGCTTTGAGGAGGAGAGAAAATAAAGGTGCTGTCTTTCTTTTAAATGAAAATGAATTTAAATCTGGTTCATCTCTAAGTTTTTGTTTGCGTGGCCAGCTCTTGTATAGCCAGTGGTCTCAGAATGTTCACGCAGAGTCCCTCCCCAGAAAATGTGCACTGTAGAGGAAACTACAATATTTCTTAGCTATCCAGTAGAGTCACATTGGTGAGGATCAGAGGGTCTCTCCAAATCTAGGATATAACTAAGAGGGGAGCATGTCCTTAGCATTGGAATAGGTCTGCCTCTGTCTTTCCAGGGCTTAAATCTTGTCAAGAAACACAAAAAGTAAGAACATCTCCAAAGGCAATTTGAGTGGATGGGAGAGAATCTCATGAAATGGAAGCAGCTGAATAGGTTGCTAGGCCCCGAAGAAGCACAAGGCTTTGAGTGACCCATAAAAGCTATGAGTTTTCCCAAACACCGCATGTTCTCACTCATAAGAAGGAGTTGAACAGTGAAAATACATGGACACAGAGAGGGGAACATCACACACTGGGGCCTGTTGGGGGTTGGAAGGGAAGTGAACGGGAGGGAGAGCATTAGGACAAATACCTAATGTATGTGGGGCTTAAAATCTGGATGACAGGTTGATAAGTACAGCAAACCACCATGGCACATAGATACCTATGTAACAGACCTGTATGTTCTGCGCATGTATCCCAGAACTTGAAATTAAAAAAAAAAGAGAAAACTTTGAACATGGAAAAAAAATTCATAAAAAAAAAAGCTATGGGTTTTCTCCCTAAAAAAATCCATACATCACAACATCAATTCAGTACTTTCACAAGGTCCTCATATCACCCGTGAAGCCTATCTGTGGCCCCCTGTGAGTCTACATGAGTAGAGAGAGAATTGAAATCCACAGATTACCTGCAAACTTCATTTTAAGCTGCAGTTGCAAACCGTCTCCAACATTCCCCCACAAAAACAATATAAAAACCCCACGTGTTTTTCTATCAGATCAATTTGCCAGGAGAAGAATTGCCTGGTTTTCATTTGTGTTCTGTTTGGCCACCAGTATTGTTAATTTCAGTAACAGAAATGAAGGGAATAAAAAAGCAAGAGGTAAAAGCTTGTATTCCCACACCAGAGAATCTACGCTGATATCAAAAGCCTAATGCTTTCTTTTTCTGGCTAAACCTTTAAGTTCACCATATCTTCCCTGGTAAACAGAAAGAGAAGAAAAGAAAGAAATTTCAATTTTTAAGAAAGTTTTAAGGTTTTTTTTTTTCTTTTGAAGGATTAACAGATTTTCAATCTGTTGGATTAGCTTTTTTAGAATGTTACGCATTGCCAAGCTATGCTTTTTGTGAAGAAGTCTCTTTTGATTTTTTCAAGTAGTTATAGTTCATCTTACTTTTTTCAGACAATAAATCTGATCTGTTTTTTGTGACAACTGATATGTTGGGGAATCTAGTGAAGCCCAAGGTTTTCCTGAATTACACCTCAATTCAGTTATCAGGATTAATATGTTTAAATTCCAATTGGACAGCCCACTGTTAGCTGATACCTAATAGCAAATACCTAACTTCTAAGTCCCCTGGCTTGTCTCCCCTATTTCAGCAGCACTACCCTTATCTCCCAGCCAACGAGCCCATAAAAGGTTAAGATCACTAGTTTCCTTTGGAATACTAACATTTCATAATATTGTGTACATGTGTGCATGCCGTTTATAGCACTGAACCCTATTGATCCTTACCTCTATTATCTTCCCTGATCTTCATTGCATCATGTAGATAACTGATCATGGGAAATCAGGCAGTCTGAATTCCTTTTTTTTTTTTTTTTTTTTTTTTTCTTGAGACAGAGTCTCGCTCTGTCTCCCAGGCTGGAGTACATTGGTGCAATTTTGGCTCATTGCAACCTCTGCCTCCTGGGTTCAAGCGATTCTCTCTGCCTCAGCCTCCCGAGCAGCAGGGATTACAGGCGCCCATCATACACTGGGACCTGTTGGGGGTTGGAAGGGAAGGGAAGGGGATTCTACTAATAATACAAAATAATTTTTGTATTATTAGTAGAGACGGGGTTTCACCATCTTGGCCAGGCTGGTCTTGAACTCCTGACCTTGTGATCCACCCGCCTTGGCCTCCCAACGTGCTGGAATTACAGGTGTGAGCTACCACGCCCAGCCCAGGCAGTCTGACTTCTAGGTCTGCATTTGGGACCTCTATGCTTTTTTGCCTCCATAATTATTTTGTTTATGCAATAAAATAAAATAGAAAAAGCAGGTTAAAATGTTGGCTCTGCAGCACCAGCATGAAAGGAATTGTGTCCACATCTCTACTGGAAAACAGCTTGGCAGTTCGAATATATCATCCCAACAACCATCATCAGAAGAGAACTCTGGGACCTGGCATAAAGTAAACGCTTGGTGTGAATCAATGGGTGGCTGAGTAAATAACCCAAAGTGAATGGCAAGCAGCAGGAATGGATTTGAGAAAAATCAACAATTCAGCAGGGCCCTCAGACATGGTGTGGGCCTTCCAAGCCTGTGCGTGCTTGCTGCAGGGAAAGAGAGTAAACCAGAAGCCTAGTTTTGAAGGGGGACAGGTTACCTCCTGGCATCAGCCTCTGTTGATTACACACCGCAAGAGCCTAGAGAAGAAGCAGGTGAATCCAGTCTGGAGATCTGGGTTCCAGCTTCTTCTCTGCCTCTAAGGGAAGAAACCACCTCAGTTTACCTAGCTCTATAGTGAGGGTCTTGCAATTTCAAGTTCCTTCTGTGATAATCCAAGAAATAATAGGTCTAGCAAGTGCTTTATGTAAACCACAAAGTGCCGGTACAAGGTTGAGGAGGCAGCACTGAGCAGGTATGTCCAGGGTAAACCCTCTAGAGGAGCGTTTCATAAATGGAACGTGCATTGGGGTCTCCGGAGAATTTTGGTAAAATGCACATCCTGCTTCATGGGTCTAGAGTGGGGCCTTAGTGATGCTAACAAGCTTCCAGGTGATGCTGAAGCTGCTGGTCCGCGGACCACACTCCCGAATAGAAGGGGCTAGTAGGGCCAAATCTGCCTGAGAGGAGGGAGGTCCGGGAGATGGGGAGGATGGAAACGAGGACGGAGAAGGGAAGCTGCTAGGAAGGAGAGTCCGGTGGGGGAGGAGGGGGTTCCAGGAGGAAGAGGGAGGCTGCGGGGCTGGAGCGAGGATGCGCAGACCGAGGCAGCGAGGCGGGGGTGCGGGAGCCTCCGCGGCTGCGCGGGCGCGTGCTGGTGGCCTCGGCGGCGGCTCAGTCCCGGCCCGCGCCAGCGGCGCCCCCGCTGCGGCCCGAGCGGCCTGGCTGCGGGATCGGTGCGCAGCGATGGCGCGGCCGCCCCGGAAGCAGCCGGGGGTCTGGGCGCCGCTGCTCCTGCTGCTGCTGACGGGGCCCGCCGCCTGCGCCGCCAGCCCCGCGGACGACGGCGCGGGTCCAGGGGGCCGGGGACCCCGCGGCCGCGCGCGGGGGGACGCGGGCGCCGACGAGGCGGTGCCGCGCCACGACTCCTCTTATGGCACCTTCGCGGGGGAGTTCTACGACCTGCGCTACCTGTCGGAGGAGGGTGAGGCTGCGGGAGGGCCAGGGGCTGCGGGAGGGGAGACCCGGGGTGGGGGACAGAGGGGCGGGGGAGGGGGGTCGGAAAAGATGTCAGTGGAGGCGGCTCCGGCAGAGGCTAGGCCAGGATGGGGAGCGCCGTCCCAGACCTCCGCCGGCTTGGAGGAAGGGCCCAAAGAGCTGTCAGTACCTGCCGCCCGCTTTACAGATGGGGAGACTGAGGCTGGGAGAGGGAGCGGCCACCCAAGTTCTGCAAGGCTGTAGATAGGGGTGGGCGCTGAGTCTAAGGTTCCCCAGTTCTCAAATCTGGCTTCCACCTTTGCCGCCTGGGGTTGGGTTGTAGGGGAGGAGGCCGCCATCTGGCCAGGGCAGTTGAGGGGAAGCAGAAAAACCCCAATCTAAAGAGAGAGGTTGCCTTATTTCCTCCCTGTCTGTATTGACCTAAATTTGCAGTGACCAGCGCCCACCTCGTAGCGTTCTGTTCCTGCTCACTGACCCATCAGAGCTGGGTCACATCAGCTTCCCCACTCCCATCCCTCTTCTTTTATGACGCCACATATGTTATGGTCTCCTAATGTGAGCCACCATTGTTGGGGCCTGCTGGGCCCACAGACTGGGAGTTTGTTAGCCAAGGGCCTCCCTGTAGAGCTGCTTCAATGAGCACAAAAGCCAAGCTGATGGTGATCAGGAGGAATGGAAACTGGCCTCTTTAGCAACTTTGGGAAGTAGTGACTTTCCTTTTCTTCTGCTTAAGCGGGATAGCCAACAATCCAGCTGGGGGTTGAAGTGTTGAGTCCCAGGAGCTCATATCAGTCAGTGAATGTATCTGTTGTTAGCATTAAGTTCAGCTGTTTACAACAAGCACACGTTAATAGCTTTAACAAGAAAAAGTTTCTCTCTTACGGAAAGAAACCTGGAAATAGCTGGTGTGGAGGCTCCTTGGTCATCAGGGTCCCTGGATCCCGCCCTTCTGGTTCTTCACAGTTCTTAGCAATGTAACTTCATGGTTCAAAATAACTGCTTGAGCTCCAGCCATTATATTCACATTCAAGACAGTGGGGAAAAACAAAGCAGGAAGAATGTCACTGACTACTTTTATAAGGGGATTACTCAGAAGTTTCATGTAATTTATACTTTTTTGGCCACAACTTAATCATGTGGTTGCACATAGGTACAAAGGAGGGTGGTAAGTACAGCCTATTAGCTGAGACATAATATGCCCAGTTCAAAAATCAGAATTATTGTATTAAAGAAGGTGAAGAGAATAGATTTTGGGAAATGTATTAAGTAGAGGCTTAACTGCTGAAATAGAGATTTTAATATATAGTGGTTTAAATAAGATAGTAAATTTTTCTCTTTGATAAAAGTCTGATTGGTCTGGGGCTGATAGAATGACTCTGTTCCACAAGGTCATTCAGGGGCCCGGGTTCTTTCCATTTTGTTGCTCTACCATCCCCTAAGGCTTTGTCCTCATCTATACAGTAGAAGCCAGGTTGCATGCATGTCCTTGTTCAAGATTGAACAAGAGAAGTTCGGGGCAAGTAGTTACCTTTTAGGCTGGCTGCACTTATTACTGCTGTTCACATTCCTTTGGCAAAAACATAGTTGCAATGACCTAGCTTCAAGGGAGGCTAAGAAATATAGTCTGCTGGTGGGGAGCCATGTGGCCAGGAAGGAGGAGAAATGAGGAGAGGGAGGACAAGAAGCAGAAGCAGACTCTGTCACTCTGGAAAAGAATAAATATTCCAAAGCCCATCTGTTTCTAAAAGCATTTAGTGTATCTTTACATTGTACACAGCCTATGCTGCCAGGTGGCTTAAATGTGGCATTCGAGAGTTTATATTCTGATTGGGCTCATACATCTAGCAAATGAAGGATAAGGTCAGATGCTGTACATCATTTGACTCTCTGTACAGAGAGAATGATATGTTCATCGTATAGTCCAGAAAGTTTTATGAACATGGATATCAGGTGGTCCACAGCCATCAAGAACAGCTTTATAGAGTCTAGCCATGAAGTAGGAAAGACTTTAGTGAGACAGAAGTAGGAAGGCATTTAGATGAGGTGACCGCACAGCAGGTAGCAGGGCTTGTTATATGCGTACCAATCCCTAGTTTGTCTGTTTCCCCCTCCCACCATAAAACCAGTTTAACCCTCCTGAAGCCTGCCTCTAACCTGTTGGCATTGTACTCAAAAGTCTGTGATGGGGCCAGGCACAGTGGCTCACACCTGTAATTGCAGCACTTTGGGAGTCCAAGGTGGGAGGATCACGAGGTCAGGAGTTTGAGACCAGCCTGGCCAACATGGTGAAACCCCATCTCTACTAAAAATATAAAAATGAGCCAGGCATGGTGGTACATGCCTGTAATCTCAGCTACTCAGGAGGCTGAGGCAGGAGAATCACTTGAACCCAGGAAACAGAGGTTGCAGTGAGCTGAGATCCCACCATTGCACTCCAGCCTTGGCGACAGAGTGAGACTCTGAAATTTCCTCCCTGGTTCAATTTCTTTTTACAGCCATGTTTCACCTCTCCCCTTCCCTCACCCTGAGCTTTCCGGCTCTTACTCTCCATTCGTCTCCTACCCTCTTCTCAGTTTCACTTCCTCCTTGGATACAGATTCTACCACCATCTGGTGGGTGGGATGTAAGTGGCATGGGACTATCAGAGGCAGTGCCTCTTCTAGACTACCCTAGGCCTGGGCTTCAGCCCTGTGGGTCCTGAATAGAGACTTTCCCAAGATGCTTAGACATAAACAGTGATATTGCCTTCAAAGCAGAGGTTGAAGAGGATTGCCAGAGAGAGGGAAGAAGAACTAGGAGAGAGGGGTGTCCCAGAAGGAAAAGGAAAAGAGCGTGTTTCCTACCAAGGTGAGGCCTGATAGCATGAAGATTCAAAATTACCCATGGATTCAGGAGATGAGAGGTTATGGGTGGAACTCTCCTAGGATAGATTTAGTGGAGAAGGAAGGAGGGAGGCCGATCTACCTTGGAGGACGTGGCAAGTGAAGAGGTGCAAGTAATGCCTTTGACTTAGTCTATCAATACACTTGAGGTTGTCCATTTCTAGTGACAGGGTACTTGTTCTCTCTGTGCAGGGTACCCCCTTCTTATGTCTCAAATAGCCATGAAACTGAGTATAAAAGTCAGAAAAGGCCGGATGCAGTGGCTCACACCTGTAATCCCAGCACTTTGGGAGGCCAAGGTGAGCGGATCACCTGAGGTCAGGAGTTCGAGACCAGCCTGACCAACATGACGAAACTCCAACTCTACTAAAAATACAAAAATTAGCTGGGCGTGGTGGTGGGCGCCTGTAACTCTAACTACTGGGGAGGCTGAGGCAGGAGAATTTCTTGAACCTGGGAGGCGGAGGTTGTGGTGAGTCGAAATCACACCGTTGCACTACAGCCTGGGCAACAGAGTGAGACTCCATCTTAAAAAAAAAAAAAATTCAGAAAGAGGGAATTTGAATAATGGAGGTGGGAATGGAGATTCCGCTGAAATTAGGAGAGAGCCTACTGACCATTACCTACGCTACCCAGAGACTGTTTCCCCACAGTATCCAGGTTGCCTAAGACCCCCAAATCCAGAGGTGGGACGCTGGCTGATTTGCTATTTCAAAAAAATAATTACCCCTAACATGGTCATTTTAAAAAATGTAAGTTAAGTTTTGGTTTAACTATGCTAGTTTTCAGAATTCTTTGAGGGTCTCACTATCTAAGCCTATACTACTCATCCTTACAGTCTCAGCTCAAATGCCACCTCTTTCAGGAAGCCTTCCCTGATTTTCTCCCACTAGGCAAAGATATTCTTCCACAGCACACAGTCTAACCCTGCCATGACCCTCTTTGCTCTCTATGGTCAGGAGTTCAGGTAGGGTCTTAGTGCTTGAATCCTACCACTCATACTTCTCGAGGTTCTTAACCCAGAATCTATATATTCAGAGCAGTGAAAGAATTTGAAACAGATAGGCTGATGTGGTGGCTCATACCTGTAATCCCAGCACTTTGGGAGGCCGAGGCAGGCAAATCATAAGGTCAAGAGTTTGAGACCGTCCTGGCCAACATGGTGAAAAAAATATTGTGAAACAGATTACCATTTGATTATGGGCAAATGCTCATTTCTGAGGGTTCTTTGGGGAAAAACAAAACTGAGTTGGATGTTGGCTACGGGTTAAGTCCCAAATGAAGTTTTCTTCTCCCTGCTGCTAAGATGGCCAGGTTTGAGAAGCAGACAGAGTCTTAACCTAGCTAGCTGATGTTAACTGCCTTACCCTTGGAGCCATACCCTGCCTAAGAAGGAAAAGACAGAACACCATTCATGGTCACTTATCTTTAAGGCATAGTTATCTGACCACTTGTAAAATGTGCCTCAATCAAGGATTTTCTGACCATTGAGTTCTGATCACAATTTTTCTTGGGAAAGAGCTGGAGAGGTAGAGAGAAGGACAGAGCATGGGGCAAAGGCCAGAAGTTTCATCATCTCCCTGTATCCTTCCTCCATCTACCATGGACAGGATGTGGATATGTAACTAACCACTCTACTAATATGGAAGTTCTTTAAGGGTAACAATTTACATCTAATTTATCTTTATATCCTCCACGAATCTAGCCTGATCATAATACCAATTAGAGCAACTTTTAATCTATGCTGACTATGGGGCAGGCACCGTTTTAAGGTACCTTGTCCCATAGGAATTTTAATTCTTACAGCAACACTGCAAGTTAAATACTACTACTATTGCTACTGTAGAATTAAGGAAACTGATCCAAGGAAAGTTTGAATATTTTAGCTGAAGCAGCACAGCTATAAAGTAGCAGAGAATTGTGGATTTATTGATTGACTTAATGGATAAGGTGGTGTAAGTTGTCCTGCCCGCCTGGAACAGAGGGTCTCTGTTGACATGCACTAAGAAATGGATTGGACAAATAGAATTGGCTATTTGTTTTTGTTTTTGAGACAGAGTCTCACTCTGTCTCCTAGGCTGGAGTGCAGTGATATGATCTCAGC